TACCAGATGAGGACGCAGAAAGTTGATATTAATCAGCCACAACATTTACCTGACTGAACTTGTGGATTGCCTATAGTGATGGCTGCTTCTGCATCAACACCAGCTGCACTTTCCCATATCCACCAATTGCTATTTTGGAGACTTAATATAGTGACATTGACATCAATTCGTCATGGAAAAGGGAAGTTCCCTTCACCTGTAGTAGATTGCACTTGTTTAATTGATGCCGATTAGTAGGGGTGACACACTGACACGTAAACAAGTTAAATATGAAGTAATACCACATTAGTGGCATTATAGCAGTAAGATATAACCATCCAAAGCTTAGGTATTATATCCGAAAGTCAAGCAGGTATGAACAGCAACTGAAATCTATAGTGGAAAGAAATGCTGTAAAATCTTGCTCTTCGCATCTACAAAAAACTTTGAACATTTTATGATATCCACTGTGACTAATAATTTCATATTGTAAAAAATTTGCACCGAAGAATCAAGTTTGCTTATAAAACAAAATGGAAAAAATGAAACCGTGATATGGATACCAAAGGATGCGAGATACAAAAAAAAACAAATTTCTTTTGATGATCACGAGGTTTAGCCTCAACTGTGACCGTTTAAATCACACTATAGCTCATTACGCAACACATTTTTTACTCTAATCAAGCCAGTAGGTAACTGACTATTCTTTAGGCTGCCCAACTCAAGTACTCTACGAGGCACGTATAGGCGACGGCCATTGCAAACTCTTATACTTTGCAAATGCATAATACTTCTATACCGCCAATAACATAATTTGTAAACTTTATTAGAATCAGTTTGGGAAAATTTCTCACCTTCATTAGTACGTGCTGGCGATGTTTTAAAGGTTGTAAATCAAATCAATAGGCATTGAATTCATCTGAAACTTATAGCGAAATATTGGATTTATTTAGGGTCAATCGCTCTGATATTGTGTATATATTGTTGAACATTCATGTATTTGTTAAAATTCTTATACAAATCATGTGAGACCCCATAAACAACGGTCAGTAGGTCATCCTGATGAACCTGTTAAGTATTTTTTTTTACAGAGAAACAACCTCTTATTAGCTCCCATGTCCTGGCCATGACTGGCATTTTAGGAGTGNCTGTTACGTTATCACTTTGTGACGGCATGATAGTCTTACGGTTGTGGGATTGAATGAAAGCTAAGTCTTCTGCTAAGGTTTACTTCAACACCGAAAGAGAGAGCAACCTGCTCGAGCCGAAGACCAGAAGCTAGAGAGCGATAGGAGAAGCGGGTGCTTCCTCTTACAGGGAAATAAGGCAAGAGACATAAAAGTTACGCTAGAATCCGATAACTCGCAGTACATGTTGCAGATAGGTGATACGTTTATTCTAACACGGTTTAAGCCAGATTGGTTTCTATCTTCTCTAAAAAATAGTGCTCTTCAGTACGAAAGGACCGCCCTGAGTATGAGCGCGTTCAAGGACAGACTAAACGAAGCCCTGCAGAGGTATATGTTCAACATTAAACTGTGGCTGTCATCGGCAGGATAACATTTTTCAACCAAGGTATAAGAGATGATAAAGTGTAGTTCTGACAATCACCAGACGCAACAATAACGCAGCCATCAACAGCAACAATAACACAGGCAGCAAAAACCAAAAGCATGCCCAACAGTGCAGGCTCTCCCTTNTATTATGTGTATAATAAAATGAACTGGAAGTGGAAAGTTCCTGGACTTTCCAATCTTTCAGGTCCTGCTTTCCAATATGCTATGTGTACTGGTCAATTTAATATCCCTCTAGAATTCCACACTGCAGTCACATCTACCATCAATCATCAATGTGACAATGCCAGTGAAATATTTAATTGCTTAGGCGGATTAGCGCATTAAGTTTAGAACTTCAGTGAGTGCCATATAAGTTGCCACTTGCCTCTATTGAATGCAGCTTAAGTTAAGCTTCATTTAATTTTTAAAAATAAAAAAATTGGTGCTGCAAAGAAATAGGAAAGCATTGACATCTTTCTCACTCCTGAATATTGCATTTTGTTGGAGCATTGATAAATCACACGTGAATTTAATTATGAGGAGAATGAGCTTTCAAACAAGACCATTTCCTTGGTCTCAATAACTTGACAAAGGAGAAATATTCTGACTCTCAATATGACTTGCCTTAGACTTAGTCTCTTAGAGCTAGCGGGATAAAACAAGCAAGTAGCTACAGGAGATTCCGACAATTGAAAAAAACACTTAAGAGGGTTACAAACGAAACTATTATACATTCAAGTTTTGGTCAAACGATTATCTTACCTACCTACCTACAAGCTACATTCATATGCCTTTCTTATGTTTTGGTACTTTGGTAGGCTAGGAAACCCTTGCGACAGACACCAAAGTCCGAACCTAGGCTATATACTACAAAAAACTACATTACTTTGGTATATATAAACAGGATTGAAATTTGAATAAAATATGTTATTATGTAGGTACTACTCAGTACTCAAGTCTGAACTGGGTTAATCATAATATACAATTTTGCGATGGACTCATACTTCCTTTATTCAATACAGCAATTACATTTTATATAATATTATTTGAAAATTAGATTAAACTTTATAGTTTGATATAGTAAATTACCAAAACTATGAAGGGTGAAGAGGCCATGATACAAATATCCTGAAGAGTTGTGCCCGGCTCACGGGTTGGAAACTGACACGATCCTGCTGACCATGGAATTACGTCATTGAAGAATAATTACCCTACTTCACCTCCGACGAATACTTTGGTCATGATCAATGTTTTTTTTTTAAGTAAAGGTCACTAATATCCTGAAGGCTTGTGCCCGGCTCACGGGTTGGAAACTGACACGATCCTGCTGACCATGGAATTACGTCATTCAAGAATAATTACCCTACTTCACCTCGGACGAATACCTTGGTCATGATCAATGGTTTGTTTAAAAATAAAGGTCACTAACAGCAGCCTTTTCGTAAATTCACGATTAGTTTAGAGATTAATAAATACAAAGCCTTTTATTGCACTGAATTTTCTAATGGAATGAAACAAGCAGTGATTTTGATGAACGATGTGATCAGGAGGGCTCTTCAGAGCGCTGGCGTTCCTTCATGCCTTGAACCCACGTCTCGGACAAATTTACGGCCGGACCCGCGGCCGGTCTCGCGGCCGCCGGACTAAAAACATAGAAAAAACCTAGCCAATCAACGAAAACCTCGCAGGTTAGGTCCAGTTAGGAACAGGTTTCATTAAAAACACAAAAACCTAGAAAAACTCATAAAAACACTAAGAAAACCTTTCGGCCGCGAGACCGGCCGCGGGTCCGGCCGTAAATTTGTCCGAGACCTCTTGAACCCCCGTTGGAGTGGACAGAGGGGATGGTAAGAGACCAGATGGCTTAACGGTTTTCCTGTTTTCTAATGGGAGGTGTTTGTGTTGGGATGCAACTCATCAACTGCAGACATAACCGTGTCTTTGAGAAACGACCATGAATCAGCCACATTCATGTCCTTAATACAGTCCGAAATATTCGCCGCATTCACCATTTCACGGAGTGTATCATAGTCACTTAGACGCCGTTTCTATAGTGCCACTCGTTGGCGTTTAACTTAAAGGTCCTTTATATAAGGATAAATAGACTAAGTTACTCTAGGGGTAACAGCGTAATGTTTACGGAAAGTCCGCATGTATGTAAACGATTGCGACCTCGATGCTGGCGTTTAATGGACGCCTCAGCCGGGCTGCGTCTCGATGGCAGCGGTGGTGAGCTGCACCGGTACACGGTCAAATGCCTTCGCGGCGCGCCGACGGGAATGGCGGTATTGCAACAGAGACGGATTCAATAACCGTCGCTGTTCGTAGAAATTGTGGGAGTTTTCGACTGGGTTGTTGTTAATAGGTTAAAACTTTTAGTCTATGACTTTTACCTAATTTTTGCCTAACAAGTTTTTCTCAGCATATAGCTATGTACAATGATTAATTTTTTTCAGTCATTGGCGTATGGCTGTCCAATTGTTCGTGGAAATTAGATCGAATTGCCTTGATTAGTCGACTGGAGTTAAATTTTACTTTAGGTGATGAATATATTTTTGATCCAAATTAAAAACGATTGCGTGTTATTGAAGCGGCAATGTGTCAGGTGTTATACAATTAATTGTCTGTGATCTAAAGTTAATAATTTCATGAGATTTTGCCTAATGGTGCGAAATTATATCTTCAATTTTAAGCCCATTTTAATTATGAACTGGCGCACTGGACATTCGCAACATCACTTGGATTGAGCGCCAGAAATGAACAACTTTTGCTTCGTTAATTTTGCCACCACATTACAATAAATTATTGCAATATCATTAAAATTTCAGCTTCTATTATTAATATTTTACTAAGCAGTTATCGTGATGTCTGGTTCAAACGAACTTCGAGCACACGTTATACATAAGTTTAATAGGTTCTAGAGATCAAGCAAACAAACTGTTTGTAAAACAATTAATTTTCAAAACTATAATATAACAATTATTGATAGGGCTACTTATGCAAATTGAGAATGACCTATACTCAGACTATAGATTCATCTGGAAACGCGGAATGACGAAACCCAAAATTTATGAAATCTGTTAGTACGTAAGCATTTATTTTGTTCATAATTAGTATGCTGCTTAGTGAATAATATTTTTTTCGGCGTTTCAGACTATTCAAAATTTGCCTTCCCTCCAATATAATCGTTTGTTCTCGAATACCAGATGTAAAATTGGAAAAGTTGCACAATTCTTTGATTACCGTACCTCATATCTACTCATAGACTTCTCCTTGTATTAAATTTAATTTCAATTATTAGAAAAAAATATTGCCTTATGGTTCTCTTTGTTCTACAAATCCAATTTTCAAGGTTGAGGCATTGGAAAAATCTGTCCTTGCTATGCAGCTCGTATGAATTCTTAAAATAATTGTTTTATGACACATCAATTCGTGTGCGCTATCAAGTTATTTATTGTTTACAGACGAGCCAATGTTTTGTGACGCCACTGAAGGCTGGTACATGCATGACAATCGCTGTTACTCAGTGAGTACAAATAATGTTGAGTCATTAACTATCGAATATACAAACAAAATTATTAGGTAAAAAAATATTACCCTGGACAACGAAGAATTGGTTCTCAAGACATTTTCGAGCGATTTTTAGGTATTTTTTTTTTTTGGATCTCGTCAAGATCCGTTCCATCACGTCGTACTTTCCTTGATTGCACAATCGAGTACATCCATACTATAGGGGGAAATTAGAAGCCTATTTTAGTAATTAGTAATCGTTATAGTTTTAGCTTTCATAAATAATATCTGTCTAAAAAAATATGTTGAAAATTGATCATTCCCATTTTTAAGCGCTTCGGTACTTCGTATCATGTCAAATAATATTCATGTTTGCATGTTTCTTCGGTTCTGCTCAATAGACTTCAAAATTAGCAGCTCCTTCATATCTCCACGCAAAAAATTTAAAATATCTTTAGAAAGATTGTAAGTATTTATATAATTTCTTCAAAATGACGCTAACTTCATAGCTGCTTGCTGGGTCCTCCATCAGGTATCAGACTATCGCGATTCTTGGCTGAACGCCGAGCTGATGTGCCAGCAAATCAGCGGCGACTTGGTCACCATCAACGACGATCAGGAACAGTTCTTCATTTTAGATGAAGCTCTCAAGCACCACGACAACGTCTGGATCGGAATGACAGAAATAGTTAAGTAAAAGCTGGGCTAATCTTTGATTAATGATGCTAATATTTATCAGCCGTACATAGTTCATGAGATGGAAAACGATATTCAGTTACTTGATTTTTTGATATATTCAAACGATATTCAGCGATTGTTTGCTAACAATCATTTCCTTATATGGATTGTATTTATGGTCATCAAGAATCAAGTAGTAATACTTTAAACAACGCATAGCGATTCATTATGGTGGTATTTATGTTGTTTGGAATGAACTTGCTTCGAATTTTGATTACATATTTTTGTCCTGCCACTATTAAGGGCCATACTGGACAATTTTATTGGATTGGCGACAACAGCGCGGATTACACCAACTGGGCTGAAAATAAATGCATGCCGCAGTGAGTATGTATAATGATTTTCGTTTGAGGAACGAAAACAATCTAATTAGAGCTCGGAGTTTTAGGCTGTTTGCTTTGAACATTATAAAGCTCTATTTGATCTTTAGATTGTTTCTTCCTCGAATTTAATCGTAGCGATAAAGAAAAAGGAAA